GGTCCAGCCCCCCCAGCCCCACGGTGCCCAGCCCCACGGTGCGCAGCCACGCTTCTTGGGGCAGCTCGATGATTTTTGTTCACTCTGTGTTTTTTTCATTCCCTTGGTCCTGCGCGGAGCACAGCGTCCCTCCCACCGCCGTGATCACTATTTAAATCATTAAAACCATTCCAACGTTGCGAGTCTTCCGTGTGCGTGAGGGGAGTGCAGGGGGGGTGCTAAAAGGACAACACAAAGTGGCTTTTTCGCACGGGTCGTGCTCTTCACAGCCAGGAGAAGGAACAATTCCGTGACCCTCAGAGCCGCCCAGCCTGAAACAGCCGCAGGCGGTCGGGGACTGCAGCAGGGAAGCTCCTTGGCCGCGGGGACGCGCGCAGGCAGGGGGATGCCGTCCCCTCCCAGGGGAGCCGAGACCTCCAGACTCCTTGCAGTGAAGCAGACGACCCCCACCCAGCAGGTCCCGGGCAAGGGCAGAGGGGATGAGCGAGGGCGCAGCCCCGCTGCTCTGTGCTGGCCCTCCCCAGGCCAGAGCCAGCTCGTTTTGGGAACCAGACTAAAACCAGCCCTTTTTTGGGGCAAGGAGAGCCCTTTCAGTGCTACCTGGACTTGGCTCAGAGCTGGGCTTTACCCCCAGCCCATCAAACTCCAAATCCAGGTGCAGCCCACACTGGACTGCTATCGGGGGCGAGGGGACGGAGGGGTCCCTTTGCCCCACCCCGCTGCCCACAGCTGCCGCTAATTAGCGGTTGGGTGACTTCTGACGAGGCCTGGCAGAAAGCCAGCGTAATTATAAGGCCGCGGAGCCGCTTCGCCTCCTTCCCTAAGCGTTCCCACATGCTGCCTGCAGCAGAGAGCGGCCGCAGGGCTTTTTATAAACTCCGCGGGATGCAGCTGAGATTCCTGGGGCTGGCTTAGAGAGGACAGACCCCAGCCTGGGGCAGACATCCCCTCGCTTGGGCCCATGAGCCAGGCGTGGGGCTGGGGAAGGAGGCACCAACAGCCCCCCCAGGAAGGGGATGCAGGGGGGGGGATGCTGGGGGGTATCGTGCCCCCCCTTTGCCTTTGTACACCAGCACAGCCTTCCCCTTCCCTCCCTCGGGGCTTCCTAGGACACCAAAGATGCCTGCAGCACTGCACAGCCCACCCTGAGGCTGCTGAGCTGGGGGAGGGCTCTGCTCAGACCCCGGAGAAACACTGTCACCTGGCGTGACGATAACCAGCGCCCTGCGGATGAGTTAGCAGGGCTTTCACCCAAAAAAGAGAGCTGATCATGTGGATCAGGGGTTTAAAACAGGACGGGGATGGTACGTGCCGAGTAACTCGACGGAAAAGGAGCTGTGCGCTGCCCAGGCAGGGCTGCAATGCTTGTGCCTCTCTCTTCTGGGACTCCGGTTCGTGCCAAAACGACGCTCGGCTCCAGCCTTCCCCCCACCCGCCCTGCAGCGCTGCCCCACGCTGCCTTGCCAGGGCTTCTCGTGGGGGGGTCGGCAGCATGC